GCGGGTCCCCAGGCGGGCCGCGGGCAGGGGGCGGGGGGAGCCCTGAGGTAACCGGCAGCGTCGCGGCTGCCCGGTAACGGGGCCCCTGTCGGTTTCTCTAAAAGGTTACAGGAGGATCCTCCTGCTGGAGTCAGTGGGGCTCCGTCTGAGAACAACATAATGGTTTGGAACGCGGTCATTTTCGGGTGAGTCTGCTTTCCGGGCGTTGGCGAGAGATGGGGGATGCTAGGCGGCTCTTCCGGCTCTCGGGACCGGCCCCTGGTGCAGGCAGGGTGGGAAAGGGACAGTGTTGGGGTCTGGCGGGGCCTAGGCGCGTCCCCGGAGCCTGTGCCTCGATTAGCTTGATTAGCTCGGCTCCCGCTGCCAGGGGAACCGTTTGGGGTTCTCAGGGGGGCGGGGCGGGGAGTGGTGGCGGTTAGGCGCGGCGGCCTGTACTCGGTTTCTAAGCCTGAAACAGCTTTTGTAGTGGCTTTCGACCCAGGAATCGGGGGTTTTACCAGAGGGGGAGTTAGCAATGCTTGGCAGAGCCTGGAATAGCCATTTCCTAAAATGTACCAGGGTATAGGGGACCCCTTAAGCGGGAACTGACGTGTTTTTCTCTATATTTCAGGCCCGAAGGGACCCCATTTGAGGATGGTAAGAGAGTTTCTTTACACACCTTTCCGGAGCCTGATCATTTGGGGAAAGGGCTCCTAGTCATCCTGGAAGTGCCTCCTACTTAGGAACCTGCTTCTCTCTAGCCTCTGCCTACTAAAGGCTTGAGTGGAATCCAGTATGTGGCAGGTTGTTCTGTCTTGTCTGCTTGACTAGAATTGCACCTTTTTTCTTGCTTGCTTCTTTAAAAAAAAATCTGGGTAAGGCAGTCACTTTTTTAAAGGAGCATCGTAGCACTGATGTTAAAGACTTCTGAGTTCTGGGCTGTGATCTGCAATATTCAGGCCTCCATCAAGATACTGAATATCAACCCAAACACTTGCTGATAGACTCAGAGACCATCTGGTTAGCATTCTACCACAGGGCAGGAACTGTGTACAGCAGGTGCTTAATAATATGGTTCTCAGATGTTGAATGGATGCAAGCATCCCTTGCACACAACTATCTAGTTTCTGCAATCTGGCATTGAATGCCTGTCAGCTTCTCTGCTTGCTCTAAAATGGTTTTTAGTGGCCAGTTTGAATATAATAGTTTCTTATTTTAAATGAGTTTTCAGAGATTTAGATTTGACGTTAAAAAAAACATGTATTCATTGCTTTTTAAAGATTTTTTTTTTAAACTTCCTATTTTGAGGTAAATATAGATTCATGTGCAGTTGTAATAAATAATAATAGACTGTGTGTATCCTTTACACACTTCCCCACCCCATTCTTTGGTAACATCTTGAATTACTATATTACAGTATCACAAATAGGAAATTGACAATGATATGGTTTTATGTGCACTCAATTGTGTGTGTAGTTATTTTTTTGAGCGTTTAATTCATTTAAAAGGTGATTAAAAGTATTTGAACTACTGTCTGACATCTTTAATATTTGAGGTATTTTTTTGTTTTTTAATATATTTTATTGGTTTTATACAGAGAGGAAGGGAGAGGGACAGAGAGCCAGAAACATCAATGAGAGAGAAACATTGATCAGCTGCCTCCTGCACACTCCCCACGGGAGATGTGCCCGCAACCCAGGTACATGCCCTTGACCGGAATCGAACCTGGGACCCTTGAGTCCTCAAGCCGACGCTCCATCCACTGAGCCAAACCGGTTAGGGCTATTTTTTTAAAGAAAAGGATCTGTTATTCTTTCTCAATGACTTATCTTCCTTTGGTCATGTAGCATTATATATATTGCTACATTGTTAATTATATATATATATGTACATAATTCAGTTTGAAGGTAGAAACAAAAACATTGTTGTTGCAAGCTACTGAGTACATATTTATGTTGTCAAGTTGGACCACTCTCTGATGCTACCAGTCTACAAGGTAGGTCAATATCAACCAATTCTATACTTTGTCTCAAATACTCAGATTTCCCTAGGAGGTTACAGACAGTCATCTAAATACTTTTAGCTTACTGTCTACCTTCATTCCCTGGGTAAATATCACTGCTCTTCAGTCCTGCAATAAAAAGAAATGACAGCAGAAGAGGGGTCCTAAAAGCACACTACTTTGGTGCAGTAAATCATTTGAACTGATCCATAGCAAGACTTAATTTTGCTGTACTAGTTCTTCCTTACCTAAGCTTTATGTGCAGATTAACTGTGTATTTGCTTTAACTTTAGCAGGCTTTGTTTTCATTGGCTTCTTTTTTTCCCCTCCTGATTTTACTGACTTCTTTATCCTGGACACAGGTTTATTAATAGTACATCACTTTGCCAGGGGTGACTGCTTAAATATTTCAAGGGTGCTTCTCTTGTTTTAAGTGGTAACAATTGAAAAGGTACTTATGGAATCCATTATCTATCCGGACTTTCCCTCTTGACATTAATGACTCTGTTTTTGATGATGTGTATCTCCATGCTGGCATTACTGAAAGGAATTACTCAGGCTAAATTACAGTACTCTTTTCTGATTCATTCTGTTGAGCGGTCTGCTATCCAAGAATGCTTCCTCAGGTGTCTAGAACACTGACTATGGCTACAAATATATTTGACCATCTGTTAATACCTCTCATTTACGGTTAGGGAATTTACTGAAAAAGACTGATTAGAGACAAGTGGGGTAGTTGATTTTTCCCTGTTTCCGATGTATGTTATAAATTAGCCCCCCAAATTTTTGCTGCTTCCTTGTAAACCGTTTGTAATGGAAGTTTCTGGAATTGTCAGGCCCTATTTAAAGAGATGAAATCTTAAGAAAAGCAACTCTGATTTAATTCCACACTCTCAAAGTAAGAGGGCAATGTTCCCAAGAGCTTACACTACCAAACAAAGCACTGGGGGCAGGAGGGCAGTGCTTCCTCATCAAAATATGTGGTTATGCATACTGAATGCAAAGGCTATGGAACAAAGCATTCTTCATCACATATAAATTTTGTTAATAGACACAGTAAGATATTAGTATTTGTTTTTCATAATAGGTGTATGCTTAAGAATTTGGGTGTAAGATTTTTTAAAAAAATGAATCACTTAAAACCAGGGGTCCTCAAACTACGGCCCGCGGGCCACATGCAAATACAAATACTGTATTTGTTCCCTTTTTGTTTTTTTACTTCACAATAAGATATGTGCAGTGTGCATAGGAATTTGTTCATAGTTTTTTTTTAAACTATAGTCCGGCCCTCCAACGGTCTGAGGGACAGTGAACTGGCCCCCTGTTTAAAAAGTTTGAGGACCCCTACTTAAAACCCACTGAGGATGTTTTTAAGCTAAATAAATCCTATGATAGAGGACTTGAGTGGTGTTACCTTAAAAATTAGAATTTTCAGTCAAAAAATGTTTTAAGTACATGTACTTTGCTTTATTTTTCTCTTTGTTTTATTTTATTTTATCCATCACCATTTATCATTTATCTCCCCTATACCCTCTTCCATCTCTACCCACTCCCTCCCACTTCCTCCACCATAGACACTGTTATCTATGTCCATCAGTTTTTACTTTGCTTTCTTTTCAGGGGTCACAATCTAATGGCCAAGTGGCAGGAAATGTCTGCAGAGGTGTTTCTTTGGCCAACACAATGTTTTTAAAAATTTGAATTTGTGAATATCTGTAGCAGGATATACACTCTATTAGTTTAACCATCACTCCCTTATTGCCATACACCTAGTCATTTAACACATTTACATAATTTTCCTGGTTCCTACATATAGATGGATTAATTGATACTTTCCTTAAAATGTTTTGGCTCCTCAGGTTCTTGAACAAAATCAGTACAGATCGTGTGTTATTTTGAGGCTTAAATTTTCAGTGATTTTAAAGCCTAGCCTCCTAAATATTCAGAGGATAAGCTCTGTCCTCAATTGCATAATATTAATTATAAGATTTTAAATTTCTTTAATATTTGTTTTGGACCTCAGAAATTGCATTGAGGGTTATACGAAAGAGGTGTTGATTGTTTAATCTGGCTAGCAATATGAAATATCCCTTCTTAAATATGTGCTTTGAATAAGATTTGGGTAAGTCCTAATTTATATTCAAGTGGACATAGCAGATTATTTCACTTCTCAAGATATTAAATGAGCTGCTTTAAAAGACTTGCCTCTTTGGTAGCTAGGTAAGCACCTTGTTGAACTTCTAGGCAAATATTAGACAGAAAGCTCAAGGGATTTGAGAACCACCAACATAGGTACTCAACTTTCATTTAACTGAGTGTTTGATATAGATCAGAAATAAAGTACTATTTAATATTTGAATCCATTAATTGTTTATTTCTTACTAAAAGTGAAGCTTGGATTTTGAGGTTTTGCCTTCTTTAGCTGTGTATCAAGACGTGAAACTTTAGAATTATTAATATTTATAGAGCACTTATTTTGTGTCACTGTGCATATTTCCCTCATTTAAACTTCACAACAATGTTAGGTGTTGGGTACTATTATTAACTCCATTTTACAGATGAGGAACTTGAGGTTTAGTCAAGTTGAGTGGCTTCCCCAAGGTTTCACAACTAGTCAGTAGCAAAGCTAGGATTTGAGCCTAGGTCTGTGTGACTTCAAAGTTCTAGTTATGCCAGCCTTAGTGTTGTTTTACTACCTTTAGGTATTGTATTTAATGGTGGTTTTAATTTAAAGTACCCGAGAGCTCCATGTGCTATGAAATCTGCCCAATTGTAGAGCAATTCCTTAATGATAAATCTCTTGCCTATAATTTTATCAGATTTCAGCATTGAGCCAAATGTTACACTCGAGATACATATGGAAGCTCCAAGTTTGAACTCTCTTAAACACTGATTCCCACCTTTTTTGCATATTATAGTATCTATAGTACTGAAAGGAAGAATATGCTTTCTTCCTCAAAAAAGGAAATATTTATGACCAGGTGGTGATTAAGGTGAAGTGTGAAGGACTATAGTGTTTGTCCATTCTAAAATATTTTACCTTTTGTCCTTAGGAGGTTTAACGATCATTTGGAGACTATTAATGGAAGCAAGAAATAAATAAATTGCCTACTCTGAAGGAAACAGTACCAAATTATACTCTTATCTGAAGTGTGATCTATTATATTAGAATAAGTGATTTATTTAATATACCAGAGTAATATAGTAGAACATGCATCACCAGATAGTAACTGATTTCACAAGTTTACTTGAAGAGACTTCAGTCAGGAAAAAATAGTTGCCCAATTGTTTTCTTGAATTTATTAAACCAAATTAAAAATATTTTTTAAGGAAATAATCTCCCCAAATCACATCATCCTATAATTCTTGAATGAGATCCAGTTTATCCTTTACTTATAAGCCTATAATCTAGTGTGCTTTAGAGCCTCCTGCTACCTTAGTTGAAATATTTAAGAAAAATAAATTCATCATTAGAAAGATAAATTCTCTGGAGACATGAATGTAATCGAATGCGATTTTTAAATTACTTCTGCCATTAATTCCCTCCATTAGTGTGAATGATTACGTTGATTTTATAGTGAAGTACTTTGTGAGTCATACTTAAAGGTTTTGAGAGGGACTATGAAGTTTTTTTCCGATTCACATTCAATTATATTTTCATTATAGAGTTGCCATTATATATGGAAAGGAACCAGTGAACACTTATATGCCTATTCCTTTCTATTTTAAAAATAATTTGATTATTGATTTGTGTTTCTAGCATTGATTTTTGAACCTTTGTAATTCCATTCTCTCTAGTCCATTTAAAAATCTCTGGAGAGCTTATGATGGCAGCTGATTCAAATGGGCCTTTAAGATCTTCCAATTTTCTAAAGGAAGGCCACATTTTGGCTTTAGTTTCTTGTCATTTTAAGGCTGTCTTCAATATGCACAGTGGTTAAAGTTATCCTACAGGTAGTAATTTTTAGTTTAAGATGGCTGTGTTTAAGTTTGGAGGAGAATAATGTCAAAACAAAAAACAAATCACTTTTGGGTGGTGGTTCTTAAAATATCTGTCCATTTTTAGAGCCAATTCCTGGAGATGTCTCTCTCTCTCTTTGCATTGTTTCATTTAACAATTGGAGAAAAGTCACATAGCATTAAAAACAAAATACTTCTGAACAAAGTGATAACTATGTTTTCTTAAACCTGTCTTTTCTAACTACAGGAACATTTAAGCTTATAATAGAATTCACTGAGGAATATCCAAATAAACCACCTACGGTTAGATTTGTCTCTAAGATGTTTCATCCAAATGGCAAGTATCACTTTTAATACAGTATTTAAAACAACTGCACTGTTTATTAGAGAGGTGTTTGTTCCACATTCCTATGGATTTGTCTGTGGTACCTGAGTATTTAGGCATCCTGCTGTTTCCTGAAAACTGAACTTGTTCATGGTGTGCTATTGTGGGCTTCAGCTATAGTCCTAGAACTAAAGCAAGGAAGCTACTTTGCCTTTGCTTGGAGTCTGAGAGCCTCCTGATTTTGATGATCTTTGTCATTTACTTATTAAACAAAAGTAAGGATGCTCTTGAGGTTTCCTTTTAATATTAGGCCAGATTGGGGTAGTCTTATGTTGTAATTTTTCACTAGTGTTTTTTTTTAATATTGGGAGGAAGGGAGAGGAAGAGAGAGATAGAAACATGAGGCCTGGCAGGCATGGCTCAGTGGTTGAGCATTGACCAATAAACCTGAAATCAATAAAAATATTTTTAAAAAATATAAACATTAATAATGAGAATCATCACTTGGCTGCCTCCTACATGCCCCACACTGGGGATGGAGCTTGCAACCGGGCATATGCCCTGACAGGGAATTGAACCGTGACCACCTGATTCTTAGGTCAACTCACAACCACCGAGCCACACCGGCTGGGCTCACTAGTATTTAAGACAATAGTTGCCAACTTTGGTTACAGATCAGAATTACCATGGAACATTTAAAAAATACAGATGCTCTAGCCCAGGGGTGGGCAAACTTTTTGACTCGAGGGCCACAATGGGTTCTTAAACTGGACCGGAGGGCCGGAACAAAAGCATGGATGGAGTGTTTGTGTGAACTAATATAAATTCAAAGTAAACATCATTACATAAAAGGGTACGGTCTTTTTTTTTTTTTTAGTTTTATTCATTTCAAACGGGCCGGATCCGGCCCTCGGGCCATAGTTTGCCCACGGCTGCTCTAGCCCCAGTCCAGACCTACTGAATATCAGATTCTGTGGTTGAAGGCCAGGTATACAGTATTATATTGGAAAAGCACCACAGGTGATTGTAACTTACCATTTTCTCCTAGAACAGCTTGCCTTTTATTCAGGTTAATAAAGTATTTTCCAGGTTATCAAATATTTAATTATCTTCATGCCAATATGAAATCTTGTGAGCTATCTTTTGTTATTTCATATAGGAGGTATAGGTTACTACTTTGATGGGATGAATTTCTCACACATCTCTGGATGGCTGGGGACCCTGTTAGAAAATGTTTATGATTTCCTGGATAATGGGGCACTCTCTTCAGAAGGAACACTAAGTATCTTCCAGTTTTATACTGATTACATTTGACATTCTCCTATCCTGATTATTTCATTAGTAATGCTTCTGACTATTTTTAGGAAAATAACTGAGGAGTAGCTGAGGAAACCTTAAACCTCAAAAGCAAAATATTCTTGACTGTGTTGTCTTGACTAAGCTGTTAAAATCATAATGGTTTTGTTATGTTTAACATAGATATTTCTCTGCTCTTAGTCTATGCAGATGGTAGTATATGTCTGGACATACTTCAGAACCGCTGGAGTCCAACTTATGATGTGTCTTCCATTTTAACATCAATACAGGTGATTTTTTCCTTCATATGGCTAACTGGCCTTTTATATGTTTTTATTAGCAACTGAATTGTTTTGAAAGTCATAACTTAAGGTAAAAGGTTGGTCTTAAGACCTCAGCCACCAGAATGTGTATATTTGCCTAGCTACTAGCAAATACATATACTGCATCTAGGAACTGACCTTTTACAAATTGTCTTTCTAGTCTCTATTGGATGAGCCCAATCCCAATAGTCCAGCAAACAGCCAGGCTGCTCAGCTGTATCAAGAGAACAAGCGGGAATATGAGAAACGTGTTTCTGCGATAGTAGAACAGAGCTGGCGTGATTGTTGACTTGGGTGCAGCAAATGAAGAGGCTGGGCATATGAAAACTATATATTGATGTGTTTGTCACCTTCTTATTCTTGTGTCATCACATTTACTTCATTAAAAGCAAAATAGTTATTCTGCTGTTTCCATCTTCCCTCGCCAAACTTTTCCTACCCCTTCTATCTTCTTGAACATCAAAACACCCTCTATGAGATCAAATGTACTGTACCTGGGTTACGTGCAAAAATTACTAATGCTTAATTCCTTTTCTGTTATATCATCTCCAGTTGTGAGGCAGTATTTTGTTACCGTACTTTACACTAAGCGTTTTAAACAATTTGTTATACAAGTGGTGCTTTTGCATAGCTTGATAACCGGGATGTTATTTTTAACAAAATGATTTAAATGTTTCTTCCTGGCTGAGACACTTGTGTTGGACTTAGAAGTGAACATTTGGAATATGGCCTATAGAAAATAGGGTAAGAAATCCATATAAACGTCCATTTTGAAAGAGGTGAAAGTTAAAAATGCATTATTTCTAAGATCTAACCAATATGCATTACAAGGTGGTTTTTATAGGTAGAAAGGAGAGTGTTAAAGGACTCAGCCAAAGGAGTACAGTCATTGTAGCAACTGACACATACCCTCCTTGCAAGATATTCATTGGACACACTCATGCTAAGTGTCAGACTATAGTCAGCCTTCTTGGAGCTCCAGTGGCGCAATCGGTTAGCGCGCGGTACTTATAGTCAGCCTTCTGTATCTGCAGGTACCACATCCATGGATTCAACCAACCCCAGGGGGTGGAGTTTTGTTGTCGCTGATATGTACTAGGTAGTTAAGCCTCTGATGGTTGTGTCTATTCTGATGGATACTTAGGGACAACTGTACTGGAAGTATTCTGGGTTTTACTTTTTAAAGAGGTGTAGGAGCAGAGGAATGGAAACATCTTTAAGGTGAGGAAGGTTGGTGATCCTTTAATCTTTTGAAAGTAGTGCTACCTTAGATGAACAAATTTGTAATCTCCCCTCATTTTTTAGAGTTTTAACCCAATGAAAAGAGCGTATCTGTGGCAAACTATTTTCCACGCAAATCCTGAGTTAATGCTGCATGCTTTAGTTTCTTCTTTCCTTTCAGTATTATAAGAACCTTAAAGTCAATGTTTGCAATCTTTCTTTGGATATTTATACTTTTAAATAGTACCTTTTAAGTAGCAGTGTGGGGCAAGGCTTGTAAATGTTTTGTCTAAATGTTCCATTGTCACCTTGTGTGGATTTATCACTCTTCTAAATCTAACTTTGCACAAGTAACCCATGTAAAAAATGTACATTTTTCAAAACTTGTAAATAAAAATAAACTTAAAATTTTGTAGTCAAGGTATAATTATATTTTAGCTCAGTATGAACTTTTAGTATTATTGAAATCAAATATCTACTCTTTCCTTTTCCTTTGAAATAAACATGGTAAAAGCAAAAAATACAGATTCTGGGAAAAGAATAGATACTGTTAAAATCTTTTTTCTATTCAGTCATAAGTATTAATGCTTTTCAAGAAAAAAAATTTTTACCAGAATGTAAAACTTAAAACAAAGCTACTTTAGCATTAATATTATGATCAATCAAAGGAATGAAATTGGGATCAGAGGAGAGAATAAACAAACCCGGATTTTTACCAGCACCCTCACAGACTGACACCTAACTTGTCCTGACATCCACCTCTTTTAAAAAGCCCTAGCTTAGCCGAAACCGGTTTGGCTCAGTGGATAGAGCATCGGCCTGCGGACCGAAGGGTCCCAGGTTCGATTCGGCCAAGGGTCGATGTTTCTCTCTCATCGATGTTTCTAGCTCTCTCTCTCCCTTCTCTCTGTAAAAACTCAATAAAATATATATTTAAAAAAAAAACCCTGGAGATTGAGCCCTGGACGGGTTGGATCAGTGGATAGAGCATCGGCCTGTGGACTGAAGGGTCCCAGGTTTAATTCCAGTCAAGGGCATGTGCAAGAGGCAGCTGATCGATGTTTCTCTCTCACTGATGTTTCTAACTCTACCTTTCCCTTCTCTCTGTAAAAAAATCAATAAAATATATATATAAAAGCCCTAGCTTAAAAACAAACAGTACCAAACTATTAAAGTGGTATTTTCAGTTCTGTGTAAAGTTTGGGAGTACAGGTATCCTCAAGTTATCTTAAACAAAACTCTTGTGAGAAACATCCCATTCGTTTTTATGCAGACAAGAACAGTGACTTTGTGGAAACTCACCTCTTGTTTGGGGGAGGGAACTAAATAAAATTAAATCCTTAAGGTATTGTACCCATTCATCCTTTAAGACATGGCACTTTAAGGAGGCTCAATGTGGGCGAGTTCATTCTACACTGACCACATTAACTGGTTCGTTTCACTTAGGAGCAGTATCCTTATATGTACTTTAAGTCCATTTCTGCTTCAAAGTAGAAACATTAAATTGGTCTCCACTTGATATATTAGTTTTACATTTACTTTTTTATCCTATTGTGGCTGGGTATCTTACTGACACTGTTAATCACACTTTAAAAAATTAAGGTGAGATCAGGAATGTGAAGATCTATTTTTTTATTTTGTACACCTCCTGAGAAACACTAGTCCCAATCTCTCATGGGATAACCCTTTCAAAACCTCACAAGTCAACAAGCTGACCTCCCAAAGCATCATACCCATGGTAAAAGGTACCAGAAATCATTCATTTGACATTTAATGCTAAGTTACCTTTTTTCTTTACCATTTCCCCCCCCCCCACAAATGCCTCAGGCTGCCTGCATATAACAAAGTTAAAAGTTTATGTGAGGCCCCTTTTAAAATGACAGATCAGAACTTGAGTCTTCAATTCTGCACCTGCTGATGTGGGAAAGGGGGCATGATAAGGAAGAAAAGTTGTAATTACAGTCCTTTAAAATTTTAGGATTCTCTCCAGCTTCAGGGACTATTAACTGTCAAGTGATGCATTGTACTAAAGAATCCCAACAGAATGCATAAAATTCCATTCATTTTGCAGTCAAAAAGGAGTGGGGAAATTCTAATATCTGAAAATGTGTGTGTGTGTGTGTGTGTGTAACTGAAAAGTTTCTTAGTATAACATTTAACTCAAAACTTAAAACTGGTCATATACTGTGCAAGGTTACTGGGTTAAAACTGACTAGTTCAAAGGAAGGGGAAATACAGGAACCAATAGGGGACAAAAACAATAGCAAGGTTGTCAGCAGCTCATTATTGCCAAACCCATTTCTCAGCATACTTTGTTTTCAGAGTTAAGTGACTTCACCCTATTTCCACATCAATACCAAAGCTAATCTAAGAAGTTGGGAAATCTTGGGCCCTCAATTCCAGAACCAAATACATACTTACCCCAATTACTTGGGAGTCTTAACTTTAGCTAGATTAATATTCTGCTCTGTTGAACTTATCTAAATAAGCCAGATTTATATGTAACATTCCCCTACTCCTCCCCCAAAAAAATAATTTTGGGAAAAGGAAAGAAATGTAGAGAGAAAAGAATTTTTACATTCCTTAATTCCTAACTCACTAATTGAACCATAGCTTCTCAAGGTTGGTATGAGCCTTTTAGGTACAAAAAACAAAACAAAACAAAAAAACTATAAACATTTTAGCTTAGTTCCCTTTGCCATTGTTAAAACATTAAGTGCCAAATAAAATGCACACCTCACTTCTCTTCCTACCAACATTAGGAAAGGGCCACAAACTAGGCAGAGACTTAGTGGAAAGCAAGTATCATATACTGTGTCAATCATTGTAGGTGATTAAAAGTTAAGAGATCCAGGTATGTTGAGTAAGACTCCCTCCACGTTCTGTGTGGAGTAGGGTTCGGTATCTGAAAGAGGAGCCGCACAGCAAATGAGAGAAAAAGACACGAGATAATTTTGCAATATTGGGGGACCAGGCGGCCAAGTCCCGAAGGACTTCCTCT